CCTTGTTTTTTTCAGATGAGGAAACCTACCTTAGTGATTTTATGCACCATGGGTAGCGAGCTCTCAACCAATGTTGGAAGAATGCCCGTCTGAGCGAACAAAGGAACAAAGTCTCGGGGCCTATGGCAACTACAATTAGGACTTCTGGTATTCCAGAACATTCTGGTATTATTTAGGGTATAGACAGTGTCCTGGGAATTCCAAGATGAGAGAAATCTGGGTGAGCAGAAGTGATCAGGGAGGCTTTCTGGAGGAGAGGGCATGGCTGGAATTGAGCCTTTGACGGTGGCCAGGACGGAGCGAGACAGAGAGGGAAACCCTCCGTACAAGGGTAACACTTATTCCACAAGCAGAGTGGGAAGATGGGGGAGTGCAGGTCTCACGACAAGGAACAGTGCAGAGCTCTCAGATAGGGCAGGTCTAGTGGTACCTGCATGAATAGCTTTAAACTTTAACAGTTACAGTTTTAATGGATACTGGAAAACATGTAACTTGCCCCATTGGACCCACAACTTGAGATACAACTGCTTTTTTATTTTAGACAATTCTTTAAGGGGTGCCTGTGTGGCTCAGTGGGTTAAAGCCTCTGCCTTCAGCTCGGGTCATGATCTCAGGGTCCTGAGATCGAGCCCCGAGTCGGGCTCTCTGCTCAGCAGGGAGCCTGCTTCTCCCTCTCTCTCTGCCTGCCTCTCTGCCTACTTGTGATCTCTGTCTGTCAAATAAATACTTTCAAAATTAAAAAAAAGACAATTCTTTAAAAAAATGAGTCAAATTTTTAAAAAATATTAAGTTAACAGAATCATGTGGTAGGTGGGGGTTAGGACGTAAAGTGAGAGGATGGGGAAACGCCTCAGAGTCAAAGACGCTCTTAGACCGATGTCACATTGAAGTCTGACAAAGGTCTTTTGAAGCGTCGGCATGGCTGGTCCTTCCAGCGCTGGGCCACTTTCTTCACTGAGCCCTGAATGAAGTCATTGGATGTGTTTACGAACCAAGGTTGTACCAAAACGCAAATCAACTTAAACCTTACGAAACTATTCAGAACCAAGATGTTCACAGTGCAGTGTTCCTTTGGGACAGACACGTACCCAGCAGAATGCTTTATGGATAATTGCCTTTTTTTTTCCCCCCCTTTTTAGGAGCGTGTAGAACTCCATGCAAGAATTTTTAGAAGCGTCTGTGTTGAGGCTCAGGTGCAGGAAGTCTACAGTCCTCAATGGTTATCAACTCAAGTTGGGGCATGCTGGGTTCAGCTTCCAGGAGAGAACAAATGGGGGTTTTAAGGGAACTCGGAGGCGTGGACCCTGGAGCTTCTCACCAGCAGGTCTACCCAAGGGCAGGCCCAGGCAGCGGAGACCATTCTCCCAGCCCCGCTGTCCCGCCCCACCGGAGGGACCTTCCCAAATACTGGTTTCCGGAACGAATCTCGAGATTGAGCAATCCTTTTGCAATCCTGTTGCAAATGGGTGCTTTCCACTTTGTTGCTTTCGACGACTGTGCAGAGAGGTCAAACGGATTTGTCAGCTGACAGGTCAGCAAAAAGACTTCTTGGTGACAGATGGCCCTCTGATTTTTGCCCGTGACTCAAGGGTGTGAGAATTGAGCGACACGGCTATTGGGGCGTTCCCTCCTCTCCCTGTTGCTTATTTTGTCAACAAGCTTTTTCTCTATCTTACATCTACAAAAATAAGAATGGAAATGGTGGCAAATTTGGTCTCCTTCTAGTAAAAAGTTTCGTCATTCCAGGATACATGAATCAGTTGGGGAAGCCTCATTCACCTCGTTAGGAGATATATTTCCAGGCAAATAAAAACCACAGTGAGAGGCACCTGGGTGGCTCAGTCCTAAGCATCTGATTTTGGCTCAGGTCATGACCTCGGGGTCCTGGGATCTGGCTGGTGTTGGGCTCTGCGCTCAGTGGGGAGTCTACGGGAGAATATTTCTCTCTCCCTCTGCCTCTGCACCCCATAACTTGCAAGCGCTCTGTCTCCCTCTCACTAAAAGAAATAAATAAAATATTTTTTTAAATGAGATTCCACTACAAAGGACTAAATTTTTTTGAATACCAAGGTGCTTATGTTGGTGGTTGTTGTTATGCACAACACGGGAGGCCCTCATACCTTGCTGGTGGGACTGCAGAAGAGGAGAGGGACAGTGTCAGCCAGAACCTCCAAAGGTTAAACACAGAGTCACCATAGGGCTCACCAATCCCACTCCTGGGTATTCATCGTAAATGCCCCAAACTGGAAACACTTTTAAATGTCTTGCAACTCCCGAATGCCTACAAACCCCAGTATACGCATACGATGGCCTTCTACTCTGCAAGAAAGAGAAAGTGTTTTGTTTTGCTTTGTTTTCTTGAGAAACAAACTGTCGACACACTGGACATGTGTGAATCTCAGGACGGATGCCAAGTGAGAGAGGCGGCGTTAAAAGTCCTTATCCTGTGTGATTCCCTTCTGAGGACATTGTCAAAAAGGCAGAACTATCTGTTGCCAGGGTTTGGCCTCAGCAGAAGGTTTTCCTGCAAAGGAGAAGCAGGAGGAAATCTGGAAGGAACATAACATTGTTCTGTAACTTGGTTAGTGGTGGTTACTGGAATGTGTATGTTACAATTCCTAGAACCGTACACTCATCTATTCCACTCTGTGAATTTAAGAAAATTCAAAATATGTGTAAAAAGGGGGACGCATTCCAATAGAGTCTTACTGGTTTGTGGGATAGCTAGCAAATAGGAAACACTGATGTTGTCCGTCAGTGGTGTACCTACAGAAAATGGCAGTCCAGACCAACATGTTACCCTTTGTGGTCAAAAGAAGAAATTAAAACACTCATTCAAACTTCTACAGATGCTTACGCTGCAAAGAAACACAACAGAGCGAGTCATAATACTTAAAGGCATAAATTCTATAACATTTTGCTAAACTTCTAGGGGAGAAGGAAATAGGCATTCAAGACCGGACGTGTACTAACGGAGAGCTGGTTTGTGTGTTTTTTTCAGGGGTTGTATCATATTTAGGACCCAGTGGGCTGTTTAAAGAGTGATGACGTGGTTTTATTTTATTTTCTAGGATTTTATTTATTTGAGAGAGAGACAGGAGGAGCAGGGGAGGAGAGGGAGAAGCAGGGTCCCCGCTGAGCAGGGATCCCAACGCGGGGCTCCATTCCAGGACCCAGGGGGTCATGACCTGAGCTGAAGGCAGATGCTTCGCGGACTGAGCCACGCAGGCGCCCCCTGACGTGGTCCAGAACCACAGTGTGTGGGAAAGTGCATCCTGGGTGGCTACTTAAAGATCAGATGAAAGCTTCTCGACGTCCATGCTGGAGCGAACGGGTGGATGGTTCCACAAAAAGCCTTAGGGAGGGCAGGTGGCACATGAGCGGGGAGGAGGCGAAGACCCTCGGATCCCAACCCCTGGGTCTGCACCTGCCGGGCCAGCCGCCCACAGAGCAGAAGTCGGAAGGCAAGGCTTCCGGCCCAAGGCTGGCGTCATCACGCTGCCTCTGACGTCATCACGTCGCCTCTGACTTCTCACAGGGCGATCACCATGCCTCCAGCGCCATCACAGGCCTCTCCGTGTTATAGCACCTGTGCGTCATCACCGGGCACCGCCTACGCCATCACCGCACTTCTGACGTCACCGGCCGGCCTGTGACGAGGACGCACGTCCTCCTGGACCCAGACAGGCGCGCAGCCTTTGCCACGTGAAGGACGCTGCGACCGGCCTGAAGGGGCCCCTGTGGCCTGGGGTGGGGCAGCAGGTGACCTCCGCAAGCCCGATCCAGCATTAAAAATGTTTCAAGTTGAAAAAAAAATTTTTTTTTTAGTTGCATTTTGCAACAGCACTGCTAAAAGATGAATAATGTGCAGTTCGAAAATGTCTTTTGACCTAAAATTTTGGGTTTCTGCTGATTTTCCAAGAAATGCTATTGCTTTTGTGGGTCCCTGACAGTACTGTGGGCCGGAGGCTCGCTGCGGGATCTGCCCTGTGCCTACTTGACCCTGGCTTCTGTTGATCCCCGCTGGGGGCCACCCCGGAGTGGCAGAAGGCTGAAGGGGCACCCAAGGGACGGTGGGGCTCTGCCTATGCACCTGGGCCAGAGACAGCTTGCCAGGGCCCGTGCAGCAGCGACACATCCCAGCTCCCCGGGCGCTGCCCACGGAGCGCAGATGAAGGACGGACCTTCAGAATGCTGTGTTTGCAGGAAGAGAAAACTGGACACAGCTTAGATGTGCATCAAGAGGGACTGTGTGAGCATCTGTACCTGGGAAACTGTGCTGCATTTACAATAATGAGGAGCAGAAAAGGGTGTCCAAGACAGGAACAGCTGGAGGGTCCTCTTGGGTGGGGAAAAAAACCAAGAATGACAAATCGTCACAGGAAGGGTCATGATGGCCAATTTATATAGCCCTTCCCATGTGCCAGCTGTGTTCTAGAAGCATTCCATGTCCCACGTCCCTGCATCCGCACAGTGCCACTCTCCAACAAACCAGCTACTTTCTCCACTCCCGAAACAGAGCTGTCAAACGACTTGCCTGAAGTGACAACGAGTGGTAAGGTGCAGAGCGCAGACTCAAACCCAGGCCGTCTGGCTCCCACACTTTGTGTTACGCACTGCTCTTTTCTGCTTCTTCCGTAACAAGAAAAAGCAAAAGCCCAGAACAATACTGAGCATTTCCTACAGGCACCTCGATTTGTATATAGATGCACAGAAAAAAAAGCCTAGCCAGGCTCCATGCCAAAGTGGCAGGCTACCTTGGGACACGAGTCACAGCCGCCTGAGAGCCTACTCTTTCTAAACGAGAACTGCATTCATGCAGTATTTATATAAAATGTTAAATATAAACAAGGTTGAAATTTTAAAACAATAGAAAGGCAAGTCAGCAGCCCAGCTGCTCCTGGCAGTTACCAGAAAGGAGCTACTGACTAAGAGCCCAGAACTTCCCAGGAAGCTCCCCGCTCCCCCACAAACACGCTGTCACAGACTCGAGCTTTAACTTTTAAAAAAGGTTTATTACTTCAATAGTGAATTACTTTTAAAAGATGATAAATTTCACTTCTGTTGCGGTAGAAAAGAGGCTGAGGCTTGCCCCAGAGCGGGAGTCGCGGGTGGATGGGTCTCCCACCCGACCAGACCGGACCCCCGGACTGATGGGGCTAGGCTTCCGCACCTCTGCCCCGGCACCTAAGAGCCGAGGGCCCTCGCGGGGGGCAGCTTGGGGCGGAGCGTCCCACCACCCCCAGCGGGGAGTGGCCGGCTCAGTATACAGGAAGACGTCAGTTTAGGCTGGAGGAAGGGGACCCCAGGCACCCAAGCCTAGTCCCCGCCCGTGCGGACTTCAGGGAGATCAACGTCTGCTTGGGGAATGAGGAGACAGTTGGAGCAGCCTTGAGACGCATCTCGAGCTCACGTGTTTACTGAGGCCTGTGTGAAGGGGCCTCACCCCCAGCCCAGACGGATGGATGAGGGCCAAAGCTCCGGGTCTGGGCAGGACTGGGCAGCCCCCTGCCCATACGGCTTTGGCATGAGAAGTCTGTGTTCCCGGGCTGGGTTTGGGGACAGTAGCCGGCCCCTCAGAGTAAAAGGCCTGTCCCGTGCGGCTGAGCCACCAAGCGGGGGCTGCAGTATCTCGTGACTGGTGGAGAGGGCGCTGTGGGGGAGGAGGCAGCAGGCGCCGGGGGCCCCCTGGATGAGCAGGTCAGGCTGGGCTCTCTCAAGGGAGGGGACCCAGTGCCCACGGCACTGCGGGTCACTTGGACGGAAGGTTCCAGACAGTCCTCGTTGACCAGCTCTCCGAGTCTCCTCAGCAGCAGCTCCATCCCTGAGTGTGCCTGCACACGTCCGTGCACGCATGCATGTACACGTGCTAGGGGGTGTGCAGTGTGTGGACATGCGTGTGGCAACTGGGGGGGCTCAGACTTTAGGACTGGTGGGCTGTCCGCTAAGAGAGTCCTGAAGAAGCGGGGTACAGGGGCCGGGGAGCCGGTCTGGCTGGGCGGCCGTGCTGGGCTGGCTCGTGGCATCTCCAGGACCCTGAGGAGGAAGACAGGAGCTGGATCGCGGAGCCGGATCAGGGAGGCCCACCCGCATCCCCAGCCCCACGCTTGGCCCTGCACCCACATCCTCCGGCGAGGAGACAACCCCCTCCACGTCCCCCATCAGAAACACCCATTCATCAAGCTCGAGATCAGAAAAAGCTGGAGTGACGTACGGACCCTTGAAATGCAGTTACGAGGGCGTCCTCTCTCACTGCACAACATCGTGCCCTGCCCTCACCCCATTTCCGAGGTGGGAAAACCAAGGCCCAAAGGCACTTGCCTAACACAGTGAGCAGGGCAAAGCAAGGGCTCCAGGCCTTCTCTGCAATACTGTGAGCAGCGAAACTGGAAACCAGCTAAATGTCCACCGACCGGGGAGTGCATTTTTTAAATAGCATCACAAGATGGCATTGAACCTGGACAGCTTTCACAACCCCAGACCTGCTGAGGCAAAAAGCCAGTGGCCGAGGGACCCATGAGAATTGCTTTAATCCTCTATTGTTCCCAGATATATTTATACAGACGTAGAGGGGAAAAGCCTACACACCAAATTCCTGGCAAGGACGGCCTCTGGGGGAAAAGGTGAACCAGAACAGAATGTTCACAATTCATGTTGTTGAGTCTGGGTGACAAGGAACGGCAGATGCTGTAATTTATCTTTTTTTTTTTTTTTTTTTTTTTAAGTTTCTCAACCAAGTCGTTAAAGACAATGATGATAAGAACTGGGGGCGGGTGGGGAGGCAGAGACCGGGTTCTTCATCCCTCTGAGCCCTATGCCTTCCTTCCCCTGAAGAAGGGAGAGGCCTCCCAGCGGCAGTTGGGGCTGGGATATCCTGAGCACCCTGGCCCACTTGTAATCCCAAGGGCTTGCTTCTCCAGGCGGTGAAGAGAATTAAAACCCCCACTCTGTGCAGGACAGAGGGCGGGGAAGGGTTGGACTCTGGCCCCTCTCCCTCTGAGACATTTCTAAGGCTTTCGGGATTGAGCCCATTCAAGCCAGGGGCAGGAATGGGGGGTACAACGAGGCCAGGCCAGAGTGAGACCAGCCTACCCCATAACACACCACCACAGAGAGGCAGTGTGGGACACCTAGGGTGGTCACAAGCTCAGCAGCTTGACCCAAACAGCCACAGCTTAAGAAAGCCTTGCTCAGAAGTAAAAAGGAAAATTAGTCCCAAACTGAAAAGACCCCCTGGTCTATCCCAAGGAAGACACATGTAACAAATCCCCAAGGAACCAGAACATGAACCAGATTCCTCCTCTTCCTCTTCCCTTCCACCTTAGTTTGCCTGAGGAGTGAGGACTTGGAATCAGAGAGAAATTAATGAGAAGGTAGGAACGGTCCAGGAACATTTCCCTGAAGGGCTTCCGTGTACAGTTGCCCAAGATGTTCACTGCACAAGTGAGCCTAGCCAAGGGTGCTATGAATGCGCTGTCAGCCTCCATTTGCCAAACCCTCTGCCCTCAAGCAGGCCAGGTCTGCACAAAATGGATGTCTTTCTTATTGACATAAAAATGCTCTTCTTGGCTAGTGCAGGCCCCATTTCCTGCTTTCCCCAAACAAGGCAGCCCTTCAAGACTGTTCCCATGCTCAGGTGCAAGGCAAGATTTGGGGGGACCCACACCTAGGCTCAGCATAGGCTAGAGACCACCATGCAGGGATTCTAGGTCACCAGGACCACTGGTCACTTCCCAGGTGCCTGCCTCCCACCCCAAACCAAATCCTATGGGACATGACAGGACACTGTGTTCCCCAAGCACACTGGTGTGGAGGCTGAGCTGCCTTCCAGAAGGCAGGGCTGTAGAATCTCTAAGTCAAAAACTTCCCAAATAAATAAATAAATAGGAGACCCCAGGTTTTGGTTTTATCTTATGGGGGAAGGGGTGCAGCAGGACATGCTGGCCGTGTCCCTGGCAGCCCAGGGCTCTGACCTCACAGAACCACCAGCCCTATCTGTGCTAAAAGGGAATAAGGCCCTCTCTACCTCTGAGGAACCCTCCGCTGCCCCCCGAGAATGCCCAGCAAGTTTCCACAGAAGGGAATCGTGGCGAGAAGGGGGCAGGGGTCCCCAGAAGGCAAGCTGTACACAATAAGGCATCCTGGGATTCTGGGGAGACAAGGAAGGAAAGGGAGACTAGCGTCCAGCTAGGACACCCTGTTCCCGAGCCCAGGGACTGTGTCCTCAAGGAGGGTATCCGGGGCATGTTCAGTCCTGACGCACTCACGCCCCTCCCTCCTACTCCCCAGTTGGCAGGAGGAGCCACCCCACCCCCAGCCTGGCTGGGGGTACAGCTGTCCCTCCCTGCTCACAGGGCTGGCAGCTGCTGAGCCCACGACTTTGCATTTTCTCTTTTATTTCCACCTCCAGCCCTGGCAATCGAAGCAAAGCGGAGGCAGCCAACTAGCCCCAAAGAGCACGGCTGTTGCCTCACCCGCGCTCTGTGGCTGTCAAGAAAGCTACTTAAACCCAAGCAGATTTGGCCCCAGAAGCTCGAGGGGGCAGCCCATTTTTGAGAAACCAAGGTAACAGCCATCTGTCACAGGTACGACTGTAGAGTGACTCACCCCTGTCCGACACCAAAGTCTAGGGCCCAGGTCTCCGCCAGCCACATCCCCGAGCAGGACTTAGACCTCAGACCTAACGGATCCCAGCCAGGAAGGCGAACTCCCGCAGGCACGAGCCTGCTTCTTCTGGAGGTAGATTGCCAGATAATATCAGGGCATCCAGTTAAATCTGAATGTCAGGTAAACAACTGAGTTTTCAGTATACGCATGTCCCAGTAACTGCACGGAACACACCTACCCTAAAATTCAGTTTACCTGACATTATCCTTTTGTTGTTGTTTCTTGGTTGTGGGGGTGGGGAGGATAAGCGGACCTGTGCGTCTTTGCTCTATCTGGCAAGCCTACCCTCAGGCTGAAGCCCAGTATTCAGCAGGCGCTCAGTTGATGCTCAAATTCTCTTTTTCTTGGTCATCCCAGATTTATTGATGTATTGATTTAATTCGGGTTTGCAGGGGGGTTTTTGTTTTGTTTTGTTTCAGAGAGAGAGAGCACATGTGAAAGGGGATGGAGGATGGGGGTCGAGGGAGAGGGGCAGAGGGAGAGGGAAAGAGAGAATCCCAAGCTGGCTCCACGCAGCACCGAGTCTGATGCGGGGCTCGATCTCAGGACCCTGAGATCATGACCTGAGCCAAAATTCAGCGTCAGACGCTCAAGCGACTGAGCCTCCCAAGCGCCCCGATCCGAGATTTATTTAGACTCTTGTTTCTCAAACACGGGATCATCTACACCAGAACCCTCTTGGGGGTGTCCATTAAAATACATATTCCAGGGCTCCACCCATGATTCTACTCCAGAGGGTCCAGAAGGATGTCCGGGGGTCTGCACGCGGAGCCAGCTTTCCCGGAGAAGTCCACCGCACCAGAGGTCAGAGAAGCAGCTGGCTTGAACCCCGATCCTAGCTTCCTAAGACAACCTCGCAAATAAGACAGCAGCCCCCAGAGCGCCACCCCCCTCCGCCTCCTACCATGCCTGGGACCAAAGAAACTGCCGATCACTCTGAAAGCAAAAATGGGCAATACGAGTTTTGAGTCTGCAGACACTCCAGGTGCGGTTTAAGCTGAAGACACGAGTAAGATCCAAAGAGTTTCGAGCCACCGGAGTCCTACTCGCTACGGGGAGGGGGGAGGGGAGGGGGCCGCGCGGCGTTACCTGGTACCCACCTACAATCTTGCTTCTTGTAGCACAGTCCCCTTGGGAGCTGATGTCATCAGGGATTCAGAATAGGCCTGAATGGCCTCCTTATCCTTTGAGCCCTTTTTACTACTACTCCAAAATAAATAGCATTTCTCCTAGAAGATAACCAAGCTAATTTATAGTTGACACTGTAGCCAAACACGAAAGGTTGACGCGCTTCTTCAGCTTCCAGAAAGCAAGGAGCAGGGTGTTAAGTCCAATAAACCATTAACGCCTGGAGATGCGGAGACGTGGAGACCGGGTGCCCTTCCCCAGAGACAGAAATGCCTTCAGGAAACGCGCCCGGTCCGACGGACGAGCCCCGCAGGCAAGGGCCTGGCCACCTGAACGACTAGGGTTTGGACACCAGAACCAAGGTGGGGAGATGGGCCACCGTGGGCAAGGCGCATTGGCCAAGAACCAGCGGGCCGAGCAGGTGGCACTTTAAATCGGCCCGAAACAGAAATTTCTGTGAAAAGTCTTGCTATTTGAAAGGAAAGACTTAAGAAGAAAAATTTCTGGGAAATTAAAATATGTTGAGTTCGTCAGCATATGATCTCTTTTTTTTAAAAAATCAGGACAAATAACATAAAAATATGTGAGGCCTAAGCTCTGCTAAGCTTCCCTGCCCAAAAAAAAAAAAAAAGTCGCGGAATCAATTTCCACTATGTGACCTCCGGTGCCCCCTGTGGGGAGGAAGTCTCAGCTGCGTCCTCAGGGAAACAGCCATCCTTACTGCGTCTGGGGGCCGCACACTGACCTGGGGCTGAGGCCTGGAGGGAAGGGGTCCTACCAGTGGTTTCATGGGTTTCCTCACTCTCCTTTCCCCTCCCACTCCTGATGGACACTCAGGAGAGACAGAGGAGACAGAAGATGGGGAGGCTGCTCTGGCCTCCTCCTCCCCTGGGCCGGTCCCTCACCAGGACGGGTCCCTCACCTGGGATCCCCTGTCGGTGGCAGTGGAAATACCCAAGGAAGGATTCTCAGGCTGAGAGCCTTGGCTTCTAGTCCTTTCTGCCCTGCCAGCATAAATCAGGCCAAGAACTATAGGGAGTTCCCTTATGCTCCCTGGAGAGCCAGTCCCACTCAGTCCAGTCTCCCTAAGCCCCCAACAGGCTGGCTAAACTCATCGGTCACCAGGAGCTCAAACACCAGAACAGTGGCATGGTGAGAGCTCATGGGCCCTGGCACCCTTGCACCAGGGCAAACTTTTCTCCCTACAGGATGGGGAATTTGGAAGGCAAATCTGGTTAAGGGGCTGACACCCAAGTTAAGAGCCCAGGAAGGTTTATGGTTACCCCAGCAAGCAAGTAAGCAGGCATGCAAGCTGCTCCCCGAGAAAGAGGAGAAAGTGGAAGACCCATTTGCCAACACTGAAGCAAGAAATCAGGTGCCATGGGGGCCCAAGGGCCCTCCGGACATGCCTTAGCCACCCCTGCCTCAGGGCCTTTGCACTGGCCATTCCTTCTCTTGGAGTACTTCTGTGAGTCTGTGCTGAGTATCTCAACAGCATTCCCATCCAAGCCTAAATTCTATCTCTTCAGAGAAGCCTTTCCCGACACTCTCTCTATAGCGTCCCCAACCCTCCTGAACACAATGATGTCCAGTCCAGGAGCCATATATGGCTATTAAGTCTTTAAAATGGGTGAGTCTGAATCAAGACCTGATGTAAGTGTAAAATACACACCATATTTCAAAGACTTAACATGAAAAAATAATGTAAAATATAGCTACGTTTATATTTTTTATATACTTTATATATTTTCTATTTTTATGTGTAAATGTTGATGTCCTACTTTGGACCTATCCGGGTGAAACAAAATATACGATTAAAATTGATTTCTTTTACTTTAATGTGCCTATTGCAAAATGTAAATGGCTCACCCACGGCTCACGTATTTCTACTGGACAGCACTAACCTTGTCTGTCATGTTTTCTATTATCTTTATCATCAGCAAAATTGCCTCTTCTGTTCCCTCGGTTTTCATCCATCTCCATAACTAGAATGCCATGCTCCCCCAGAGCAGGGCATGGGTCTGTCTTGTTCAGGCTAGCTGCCCTGCACCTGGCAGAGAGTGGCACCCAACAGGTGCTGACTTGATGAACAAACCATTCAAGTACCAGGTCTCATTACCCAGATCCCTACCAGCAGCCCCTCCCAGAGAGGGTCCCCAGGCCTCCCAGGACCCGCAGAGAAGTGGCAATGCGGGACGCAAGAGAGGTAAGCATGCAGTGACAGCTCCCCTGCCCCAGGCAGAGACCCAGGACCGCTGCCCAAGGTGGGCTCAGGGCTGAGGGTGTCCGCGGAGACGACTGGAGGGATGCCCAGAGGACCCCACGCCCCACCTTCCCCCAGCAGGCAAGCAATGGGCCGTTCAGCCCAAGCCTCACTCTGGCCACCACCTACTTGACTCCGGATCTGGTGGATGATAGGGATGAGCAGCAGGACGCAGCCCAGGGCGAGGAGGATGTACTGGGCATAGTGCAACACACTGGGCATCAACACCAGCTGGGTGTAGAAGGTCTGCAGGGGCTCACCTTCCATTGCCCCGCTCTGGGGATGGAGAATGACAAATGAATGGGCTGGCGCCATACCCAGCAGGCCTGGGGTGCAGATGCTGCCCCACGCCACATCCCCGTCCCCCACCCCTTCCAGATCTCAAGACCACAGTCCAGAGCTTGCAATGAAGCCTGTGGGCGGGGGCTTCCTTTTCCTTGGGGGGGGGGTTGGGGGGGGCACACGACGGGACTACATTTCCCAGACTCCTGTGCAGCTGGGTGAGGCCACGTGATCCCATCTGGCCAATGGGATGTGGGCCCAGTAGGTTACAACTTCCTGCCTGGCCCACAGGCACCTGCCACGGGATTCTCTCCACCTGGATCCCAGTTCCTGGAAAGGAAAGGGTTCAGAGGATCTCCGGGGGGGGGGGGGGGCGGGACTACAGGACAGCAGGAGCCTGGGTGTCCCTATGGCAGAGCTCCGCCTCCCACCAACCGCCCAGACTGTGATGTGAGCAGGCTGTCCCTTCGGATGTTATAGCTCTGCCTGATTGAAAAGCCCTCTGCCAGAAGGAACCCCGGAAAGCCAGGAAAAAAGTTTTCAAGTAAAAAGCTGATGCGCTGAGAAGCAGCTTCCCTTCTCTCAGGAGAAGTGGTCAAGCCCATTCAGAAAATTACACCCTGGGCCAGGGCCGTACTATGTCAGGCAGCTTCTGCCTTCCTCACCCAAGGGATCCTATCGGCAGCGGGATAATCGATAGGGCGTGCTGGGGCCTCGTGGAGCTTCTCACAGATCGCTCTACATCCCACATTCCGGCAACCAGCCCCCCCCCACCCCCAAGAGCCACCTGCCTCCAAATCCCACCCCGGCTCCTGCCTGGAGTCCCAGACTCAGCGCCTGAGGGCGTCCACGCAGGCAGCCGGAGGCAGCCTCACCTCTTCGAACCACACCAGCGGCAGGACCACGGGCTTGATCTTCCCCGTTTGCCTGGAAATAAGCGAGACAAAGCAAGTGAGAAGTTTTTGCCGGCGTGTCTTCCGTGAGGCAGCTTGGGACACGTGATCCCAAGCTCCGGGAACAAGAGGGATTTGATGTTGCTGCCGCTAGATTGGTGCAGGCTTGAGTAATGGGCTTTTCCTGGCAGGGAGTAACCTGACAATCTGATCCTATCTTTTTGAATTAAAAACTCACATTTCCTACAAGGTGGGGGCTGCCATGGGCCTGGCTGATGTCCATCCGTTCCCTTTAGAAACAAAACCCCAAATTTATTCGGGATGGCAATGCACCCGGCTAACTAACAATAGGTTTTAGGCTCGCCTCCTGCATTCCTTGGGAGAGTCTAGAATCTGGGCCCGTACCAGACAGAGGCCGCCTACGTGACCAGCCCCAATAAACAGGCTGGGCCTGGGCGCTGAGTCTCTAATGGGCTCCCCTGGTAGAAAACACTTCACAGGTATCGTCACAACTCATCGCTGCAGGCAGTAAGGGGATCCTGTGTGACTCTCCTGGGAGAGGGCTCTAGAAGCCTCTGCCCGGACCCCCTCACCCCAAGCCCCAGATTTCACCCCATGCACCTTTTCCTTTGCTGATTTTGTTAGAATCCTTCTGCTGTAATGAATCACAGCCACAAGTACGACTACGTGCTGGGTCCTGTGAATCTTCCCTCCGAATCATGGAACCTAAGAGTGGTCTTGGGGACCCCTGACACAACACTTACTAGCTAACGGTGTGACCGCTGGCAGGTTACCTGCCCTCTCTGGGTCTCCACTGTAAAGTGGGGACGACACAGGCAGTCTCATGGGGCTCTATTGTTTTAAATGCAGTAACATGAGCAAAGTGCTTAGAGGGACTCCCACCATACAGAAAGCGCTTCAAGTCTGTTACCGTTGTCATTGTTAAATCCTAGCAAACAAATGGACGAAAATATTCTGCAGCTATTGGGCGGGGCGGGGGTGGGGGTTTTCTGCTTAAAGAAGACACAGCTGGACAGAGGGGAAGTGGAACGCACTCGGTCCCCCACTAAGCCACGGATTGTGCCGTGAAATGAATTTACACAGCATCACCTGCAGAGAAGTCACAGAAATACAACGGAGGGTCCGCGCTGGCCTCTGTTATCTGAGTCTGTAAGAGCGGATGTAAATTAAATGCAAATAGCATGCAACCCTCCTGCCTTTATCTCGTGGGCAAACAGCCCCCAAATTCCCCAGAGGAGCCACAGGCAAACAGCTCAGCTGAGTCTCTGGCCTCGTCCCACACCTCCCACACCCGATGCCCACTGGCCCTCGGGGACGGCAGGAGGCGCTGCTGTTAGACCCGCTCCCTCGAGGCCACTGCTCCAGCCAGAAGGGGAGGTCAGACGGCTGCGTAGCCCGTGCCGAACAGACGGGGACAGAGGCCCAGAGAGGTCAGGGGAGAGGCCCGGGGTCACCAGCAGGCAGAATCCAGTGGCCCAAGTGTACCACTGGCTTGAACAGCGTTTTGTCAAGAATTCACATTCACGGGGCACCTGGGTGGCTCAGTGGGTTAAAGCCTCTGCCTTCGGCTCAGGTCATGATCCCAGGTTTCTGGGATCGAGCCCCGCATCGGGCTCTCTGCTCAGCAGGGAGCCTGCTTCTCCCTCTCTCTCTGCCTGCTTCTCTGCCTACTTGTGATCTCTGTCAAATAAATAAATAAAATCTTTAAAAAAAAAAAGAATTCACATTCACTTCCAACAAGTGAACATTGAGAGAGACCCTGTTAAAATCCAGATTTTGAAAAATGCATTTGAAAACGCATGGGAAGGGCCACGACTGGCAGGAGCTCCCGGGGCAGGGGGAAGAGGGGGCAGGGGCCTCAGCCCCGCCCTCCCCACCCAGCCTCCCTGGGTTTCCCAAGTCACCTGTCACACACCTCCCCTCCCAAAGCCGTGATGGGCCCCAGAGCCAGAGGCTGGTGGGTGGCAGACCGTTTTACTACCCCCAGCTCCTCCAGGAGCAAACCCTCTGGCAGCCTCACAATGCATGAATAAAAACCCGGGGGAGGGAGAGAGAGGAACGTGTTCTCTCTAGCTGAAAGGCATTGCACAAAGCTGAAGAGACGCTCACATTCCTGCAGCCCAGAACTCTTCCTAGGGGAATTTTTTTCATGAAACGATTTCAAATATGCTTAGGGGGAAAAAAAAAAACAGAACCCAGATCCCAGACGCCACCATAACGAGTAAATCAGTGCGCCCTCTCGCCCAGCTCCATCACAACCCCGCATCCTGCCCACAGGATGGGGCGTGGAGGCTGGGACATTCCCACACCGCTGGCGGGAAGGTCGGCGAGGCAGCTGCTGGACAGAACAGTCCGGCGGCCCCTCCAGTGGCTAAGCGTGGCCTTGCTGAATGAGCCAGCAGTTATGGTCCCAGGTGTCCACCCAAAGCAAAGGAAAGCACGCGTCCACACAGAAATCTACACACGCACGGTCCTGGCAGCATTACTCAGGATGGCCCAAACCGAGAAAAACCCAAATTTCCACCCAGGGAACGATAAAACCTGCCCAACGCACACGCTGGCCTACGATCCTGCCACGAAGGAGAAGAAGTGGAGACATCAGCTATAGCCTGATTGAGCCTTGCCGACGTGAGGCCGAGAGCAAGAAGCCAGATGCAAAAGGTCACCTCGTGCATGCAAGATCCCCTTTATAGGAAGTGTCCAGGACAGGCAAATCCAGAGACACAGCAAGTAGATGAGGGGACGCCAGGGGCTGGGGGAGGGGGAGTGACGGCTACTGGGGTGTGTGCGGAGGGAGGGAAATGTTCTACAGCTCACCGTAGCGAGGGGTGCATGACTCCCAACACGCTACTAATCGCTGAATCGCAGGGGTGAGTTTTACACCACGTGAATTACATCCCAAAAAGGCCATTATTCGAAACAAACAGCAACAAGAAGAAAATCGGGGCTTAAAAAAATGCCTTCCATAAAGCAAAGAGTCTTTGCTTTAAAAGACTATTTGGTTCATTTCCATGTTCCAATCCTCGCTCTTGCCAGGACTTTTTTTTTTTTTTTTTTTTCAATTTTCTGTTGAGTAGGAAACTGCCTGGATGGAAGAGTCTGGTGAATTTGGGGGACAGATGTTGAGAGACAAAACCAGGATCCCGGAGTGGGGAACAGACCCCACATCCAGGAGGACCGTCTCCTTCCCCACCTGCTGGTCCCTGGGAAGGGTCACTGCAGTCCCCCCATCCCTGTGACCCAGGCCCCCACTCCCAGAGCCACTCACCCGATGCCTTTGATTGCCTTGATATACAGGCTCAGCTGTAATTTCACGGAGCAGTTCATGGGAATCCCGGTGACCTGTGGGAAGAAGCACAGAGAGGGGCCTGGGCTCGCTGGGGCCCCCAGTCCTGCCCCTGAGGGTGGGCACCGGGACCCCCCCACTAGCTCCCACCCCTCCCAGGCAAACACACGCTTCCCAAAGCCCCCTTTCATCCACCACCTATCCCTAGGTATAGTACATTCTGTTCCCTTTTTTTTTTTTTGTTCATTTTTCCCTTTTATTTTTAAAATTTTAATTAATTCATATTTTATTGACATATAATGTATTATTTGTCTCAGGGAAGTACATTCTGTTTTCATCATCCTCCAAGCTAAACAAAATAGATTTGCATATGGAAAAAGTCACCCTCCTCACACAACTTTTCCTGTCTCAAACCTAATGATAGTTTTCCCTTGGGTTTAATTTTCTTTTTCTCGAGAACTTTTTAATCTCCAGATACGAGGTAGGGACAGGAAACTTCCTTTGTCACAGGAACCTACGTTTGTGGGATTTTTCTGGATGAGATCATTTTTTTTTAAATAGTAAGTAAATAGTAGGCAAGGACACATGCATGTACAACCAAACTCAGGGAGGGAGCTCCAGAAGCGGAAAGGGACGGAGGCTCGAGGTCAGGAGGCCAGAGCTGCCGCCTCTCCGGCCAAGGCCTATCTCCTCGTCTGCAAAAGGGACTAATTCTCCCCACTTCCCAGAGTTTCTGTGGCGCCCAATCAGGCACCCAAGATACCCACACAAGGGGCCATCAATTCTCATGTGAGTATCAGGTACATCCGCGGTAAAGGGCGTTATCTTCTGTGATAAGCAGGCCTGGCGGGCCCCAGTGGCCCAGAGGGACAAGGAGGGACAAGGCAAAGGCCGTGCTCCTGAGAAACAGGGGAGACCTTGAACCCCAGAAGCCAGCGGGATGGGAGGGAGTCCACCCGTGTGTGGAGAAGCGATGACACGGCAGGCCCGAGGCTGTTCTCCTCAGAGAGGCCTGCTGGCTGGGCTGGCCGGTGGCTGGGGTCTGGGAACCAGGATTCCGGGAGGGCCCCCCACCGACTCCCTGATAAGCAGAGCTCACTGCGCCCGGATGGTTTGTACAAACAACGTGATTTATGCCGACCGCCGGCTTTCCTGCGGGGGAGTCTAGGAGTTGGGAAGGCACCAGGCAGAGGGAGCCGGTGGGAGCGGACCCCAGGGAACACCCAGGGTGCTGAGTCTCTAATGGGCTTCCCTGGGAGATGACACAGCTCACTGCTGGGGGAATTCAGTGTGTCCTGTGTGGCTGCCGTTGGGGAGGGCCCTGTGCCTGACTACCCACCACCCCCAGACCCCGGCTTCACTCCCTGTGCCCTTCTCTTTGCCCACGGAGCTTCGTGTCCTTTGTAATCCATCCCAGCCGGGACTCCCACCTTATGCAGAGCCCTGCAAGTCCCCCCAGCAAATCAGCAAACTTGGGGGTGACCTCGGGGACCCTGACATAACCTGCCACCGCCACCCCCTCTTTCTAGAACAGCCTCTCTAGTCTGGGGGCTCCACCCGGGCCCACTTCCTTCCCCAGGAAATGTGTTTCCTTCCCTCCTTGGCCGGCTCCTCCTGGGCCGTGAGGCCCCTTCGTGGGCAAAACCCCACCCCTCCCCAGCACCCCACAGAACGAAAACAGGGACCCGTGAACACACCCCCTCACCACACCCTTCCTGCTCTTAGGGCCGGAAGAGAAGCCTCCAGGACAGGAGCCCCCCCCCCCCCAGGTAATCTGCTCTCGGGGCTAACGCCACCCAGGCAGCGAATGGGTCCCAGGCTCTTCCTCCCCGGAAGTACCCGAATCAGCAATCAAAACCCAAAAGGCCACTTCCTTTCCCTGCGTGCCTCCAGCTGACCTGGAACAAAAGACGTGGAAGCCAGTTCCTACTGTGGCTGGGACAAGACACCTGCTGGCGTCGTCTGGTCCCCCAATCTTGGCCGCCTGTTCCTCAACATGGGGGGAGGGGGCAGGGAGAGCCGAGCACTCGAGTGAGAGTCACCCGTGAGAACAGAGATCATGTTCCTGCTGGATTCCCCAGAAGCCAGCAGAGAGTGAGAGAGACAACAAAATAAGTGAATGAGGGGCGCCCGGGTGGCTCAGTCAGTTGAGCGTCCAACTTGATTATGGCCCAGGTCATGACCTCAGAGTCACGGGATCAGGCCGCACGCTGGGCACCCTGCTCAGTGGGGAGGCCGCTGGGGAGTCTTTCCCTCTGTCCCTCCCACCCCACTCTCTCTCTCTCAGATAAATAAACAAATCTTGAAAAAAAATAAATAGGGCACCTGGGTGACTCAGTCAGTTAAGCGCCTGCCTTCGGCTGGGGTCATGATCTCAGGGTCCTGGGATCAAGCCCCACATCAGGTTCTCTGCTCAGCAGGGAGCCTGCTTCCCCCTCTCTCTCTGCCTGCCTCTCTGCCTACTTGTGATCTCTCTCTCTCTCTCTCTAATAAATAAAATCCTTAAAAATTAATTAATTAATTAATTATTAAAATGAACTAAAACAGAAGAATATAAACAACCATGGTAGCTTTATAACAAAAAACTCTCGGGGCGCCTGAGGGGTTTAGTTGTTAAGTATCTGCCTTCGGCTCAGGTCATGATCCCAGGGTCCTGGAATCGAGCCCCACATCGGGCTCCCTGCTTGGCAGAAGGCCTGCTTCTCCCTCTCCCACTCCCCCTGCTTGTGTTCCCTCTCTCACTATGTCTCTCTCTGTCAAATAAATAAAATTTTAAAAAAACAAAAATTAAAAAAAAAAACCCTCTTAAAAACTGGCTAAAATGTGAAGACAACACAGAGAAGTCATAACACTTCTAGCAATAAAGAACAAACTTAATATGGAACACTTATTAATTACCATCAATTTAATTAATTGGTATGAACCTCATTAAAATTAACCAGATGTTAGCACAGGACGGGGCTGGGGGCATCAGAAGGCCCATGTCTGAACTCAGCTTCGTCCCTTACTTACTCTTGGTCATTTATCAAACCCGCACCTACTGAGCTGCTAGTGTGTCTGCTAACTGCTAAAATCCAAGCAACACGACAAGACAGGACGGACATCTCCTCAGTGCACCAACAATCCCATTTACGAGCGATATCATGCAACCTATCTGGACCGCAGCCTCCCCATCTGTACAATGGGAGGAGCAGGGCTCGCCCCCCAGATCACTGTGAGTGTGTATTGAGTTGCCACGTGTCGAAGCATCTAGCTCGTGGCGGCACCAGAATGAGTGTGTAAGCAGCATCTGTTGGACGTGAAGTGTGTGCAGTCACCGTTGGCTTAACTAGCGTGTGTTTTTAGTGAAAAGCGGGGGCAGGTGGGGAGTGCCAGGGACCAGTGGGGTCGAGTCAGGAGCTCAGAAAATCTGAGCACACAGAAAAACGACGTGGAATGTCGAAGAGCTCTGAAAAAGTCCTGTGGGCAAGACCATGAGTGTCCACTCTGGCAACAGAAACCCGCAGGACTGTTTAATCAACAGCAAAAGCCACCAAGTCCAAACAGGCACATTTTACAGTAGCAGAGCTTTGGAGATAAGACAACCTGGTAAAGACAGGCCCACGGGAGGACCACATGCGTGGGCCTGCCACCTTCTTAGCTGCCACCTGCAGAAAGCATGTCACAGAGAACAAATTCCCCAGGACCCGATTCATCTGCAAGATATCCCAGGCTCTTGTCGGGACCTAGAGAGCTTTATGATACGCTGGCACAGCCAGAGGGCTCCTCTGGCTAATTTGCAGACTGATAGTTCTAATTAATTTCCTATCTTATGGTCCTTTTATAAAGACAATTCCCTTGGGAAGAGATAATGAACCCCTTGAACTATGGAGTCAGAGCAAAGTAGGCACCTCTGATGGCTTGATACTATGGAAGTTATCAATGCCAAGGAAAGCCAGGCTTCCCACCACCCCGACCCTGGAACAGCTCAGTGCCTGACAGGGGTGGGGAGCAGAGAAGGGGGCCAAGGAGGCACCAGTGGGAAATTCCCTCCACACCCCTCCATAGGCTGACAGGCACAGGCTCACCGGATGGACATCCAGGAATAAGGAATGCTCCTCCTGGTTGGGATGGAGGCCCAACACTGCCTCGGCCAGCACCGGGTCGGCGTTGTAGAAGTGAGGGTGGGACAGAAACAAGGGCGCGTCTAGAAGGCAGAGAAGGGGAAAGGGGGTCATCAGACAATGGAGAGCATCGGCACATCCAGAGGCCTGCATCATGCCAGGGCCTGGGGAGGCACAGGCAACAGAACCCAGACACCGCCTGCAGAATTCCCAGATGACGACAAGAGGCCAATGGCAATAACTAGACAGAGAGAACTCTTTCCTCCAGTTCGTAAATGTTTACCAAGTGCCCGAGAGACGCCACGCACTGGGAAGCTCTGTGCCGGCAGGAGTGGTTGTGTGAGAGCTGCCGATTCGGGTGGGGGAGACCACAGGAAGGAAGGGAGGATGGTTAAACTATGCCAGGCAGGGAAGGCCAGGGAATGGCATTCCAGGTGGAAGGCTGGGCGGAAGCAAAGGCAGGGAGACAGGGAAATGCACAGTGCACATGGAACAGACAGTACGTGGAGGCGAATTATGGGAGTCGAGGATAAAAAGGTAAGTCGAGGCCAGTTTTGAACTTGGGTGGGGAAGGAGCACCTCGATCGCGAAGCCAGGCAGCCCAGACCATCTCCTGCAGGCAAGGAGGCAGCTGTCAGAGGCGCTGAGGGGTGCGTGCAGGCGGCCAGGTCTCCCTATCATCCACGGGAAGGGAGAAGACACACCTGCTTTGCTCCTTCTCTCCCAGCAGCCGCTCTGCGGGATGGACGCCAGCGAGTGTGACAGGGGCTGACTCGGGCCCCTCTGTGTGAGAAATTCACACCCAGAAACGTGAGGCCGAACCTCTCCATCAACTGACCGAGTAAGGCAAACGCCAGCTATCCTCATGTGCTCAGGACCACGGACAACAGGCCTGATGGACAACGAGTTAATGAGGAAAAGAAATCAGCCTCTCTCAAAAACCCATGAGGACCCAGAACAGGCAAATCCTAAAGACTGAATCCCGCACATTGTGCCAGCCAGTGGCTAGGGGACAGGAGATGGGGAATGACTGCTAACAGGTGTGGGTCTCCTTCTGGAAGGATCAGAATGTTCCAGAACCAGGCAGAGACAGTGGGTGCACAATATTGTCCATGTACTAAATGCCACTGAACTATACATTTTAAAACGCTTAGTTTGGGGCGCCTGGGTGGTTCAGTGGGTTGGGCCTCTGCCTTCGGCTCAGGTCATGATCTCAGGGTCCTGGGATCGCGCCCCGCATCGGGATCTCTGCTCAGCAGGGAGCCTGCATCTCCCTCTCTCTGCCTGCCTCTCTGCCTACTTGGGATCTGTCAAATAAATAAATAAAATCTTTTAAAAAATAAAAGAAAATAAAATGCTTAATTCTATGTCATGTGAACTGCACCTCAAAACAACAACAACAAAAAAGAAAAATGACAACAAAACTCATGAGGTCTCCTTCCCGAAAACCAACAGTGTGTCCACCACCTGCCAGGTGACCAGGATCCGTGTTATGTTTCTGGAAGCCTCAAATCTAGGTTCTTTCTACTTTTCTTAGGAAGACCAAGCATTGGTTTAAAATAAAAGCTGGGATTTCGCTGCCACCTGATTTCATCTTTCCCGGAGGACTTTAACGCCCATTGCCTTTTTCTTGACATTGATTCATTCAGCCAAGTACCTCTTCAGTTTTGCCACACCTGGGTCCCCCTGCGTGATTATCCAATGTGCTGCTCTGATCCAAATGCCATGGCTTTATTTAAACAGCGATATTTTAAAGTCGAACTTTCTATCCAAGCCATAACTGGCAAACACTTGCCCCAACAAGACAGTGAATATAGAAATAAATACAACGGAAACCACGAAGGTTGAATATTCTAACCAGATACCATTGCCCACATGGGGCTTTGAGCACTCTTTTCAGTTAAAAGGAAAGACGGGGGGCACCTGGGTGGCTCAGTCGGTTAAGCGGCTGCCTTCAGCTCAGGTCATGATCCCAGGGTCCTGGGATCAAGCCCCATGTCAGGCTCCCTGCTCAGAGGGGAGTCTGCTTCTCCCTCTTCCCCTCTCCCTGCTTGTGTTCCCTCTCTCTCTCTGACAAAAAAATAAATAAAATCTTTCAAAAATATGAATAGGGATGCCTGGGTGGCCCAGTCATTAAGCATCTGCCTTCGGCTCAGGTCATGATCTCAGGGTCCTGGGATTAAGTCCTACATCGGGCTCCCTGCTCAGCAGGGAGCTTGCTTCTCCCTCTGTCTGCTGCTCCCCCTGCTTGTGCACACACACTCTCTCTCTATTTAACAAATAAATAAATGAAATATTTTAAATACACACACACACACCTATATCAATTTAAAAAATAAAAATCTTTTAAAAAGATAGATGGGTGCTGAAAAGGCCTCTTAGTGCCAACAGAGACTCCCTCTTGGGGGTGACTGGAAGGAGGGCAACACGAAAGGAAAACAGAAGCCCTCTCTCCCAAGTCAGTTCGTGTCATTTAAAGCCACCTCCTTGCACCTTTGAAGCTACCTTGAGCACCCCAGGGACAATGCCCTACAATTTGGAAAAGCTCCTTTCCCATCCTCCCATCTCCGATATGAAAAAGGACCACCAGAGGGAACACGAGGCCCCCCATGTTCACGGAGACCCTCAGTAAGGGCGGCGGTCACCACATTGGGCCCTTGAAGGTGGTGCACCTCCAAGGAGCCCCAGCGTGCCTCCAAGGTCAGAGGCACCCGCAGTGGGTCAGACCAATGTCCATTCCCTTAATCCTTGCCTCAGACAGTAAGCACACTCATCACTTATTCTTTTAACAGCAAGCGCATGTGCATGCGTTCCTCTCTATTATATGTCAAAACAGCACGAGTAATAAGTGGTCATTAATTTATAGCCTTATGGCACGCCCAACCAGACCTAATTGCCCAGGGTCACCACAGATTACAGCAAAGAGGTCTGTCGAGCTACTCTGAGGGCCCTGAGCCGCTGGGAAGTGTGAGGGGCGAGAGTCCTCCGGGTCCAAGAAATCTCCAAGGCCCTACAAGGGAAATGTATGGCATTCCTTATCTTCAGACAGAAGGTCACAATCATGCAGACACAGGGTCCCTGAAGGACATGGACGGGAACATTCCAGCAGCACTAGGCTCATGGTCAAAACATAGAAACCCGGCTGCCCTTGAGGGCAGGAGAGGTAAGGAGACTAAGGGGAGTTCCCACGCAGGCACGCCACGCAGCAGCGAAAGCGTGCCCACGACAGCCCAGTGCTGACGGACCTCACCAATGACACAACGGGTGGAAGAGGCCAGAGAGAACACGGGAGCACATGCTACGATTCTTCTCACATAAAGGCCAAAGGCAGGCAAAGCTGTGCTGCTGGACATCAGGCCAGGGCCTGAGAGGTGTCTTGGGGTGTCTGTCAAGACCCAAGTCAGGCCCAGCATTCAGTGCAGAGTCTGCTCCTAACTCTCTCCCCCTCCCTCTGCTCCTCCCCTCCCTGCTCCTTCTGTTTTTTTTAAGGACTTTATTTATTTATTTGACAGACATAGATCACAAGAAAGCAGAGAGGCAGGCAAAGAGAGACGGGGGGGAAGCAGGCTCCCAGCTGAGCAGACAGCCCGATGCAGGGCTCGATCCCAGGACTCTGTGATCATGACCTGAGCCAAAGGCAGAGGCTTTAACCCACTGAGCCCCCCAGGCGCCCCTCCCTGCTCCTTTTAAAATAGATAAATCTTTAGAAAATAAATAAAAATAAAATTCCCTCGTACTTTTGAGGTTATTTTGGCAGATGTGCTACGATGAGGCTGTATAAGCCTCCTCCCCGGCCCTCTGAAGTGGATGGACATTGGGCCCGCCTGGCACCCACTCCTCCTTCCCGATCCCACAGGGTCCCACACCGGGACTCTGGAACCAACCTTCCCCTCACCTGCTTTGCACGCACTGGCCCCGCCCATGGAATCAGAGGCGGAGCGTGACGCGACCTAGCCAATCAGCATCGCCCTGGGCCACGGTGATTGGCTCACAGGACGCAAGGCAGACCAATCAGAGTGAACGTGGGGCACCGGCTGGAGTGAGGAGGTCCGAAGTGGGCCCTTCTGGCAAGAGTCTTTGGAGGTAAAGGGGGGAGCCCCAAGCCAGAGGCGAGACCCTGCCTGGCAGTGGAGCAAGCCCAGAAGAAAACCAAGTTGGCACCCGGCGTGAAAGGCAGCTTCCCCCAAGAGCTGAGCTCCGGAGCTGTGCCGAATGCAAGAATCTGCTCTGGAATTCTGCGGCACTCAAACCATGAGATGCCCTTTCCGGCGCAGGCGGCCGCTGCTCTTGTCACCTGCCCCACAACCGCAGCACACAGCCAGGCAGTCTCCGCCCATCCCGCAAGCAGAAATTCCCAGAGACCCCAGGGACGGGAGAATTAAACAGGGCAAGGCCAGGTGGGTCACACAAGGAGGTGACATGGAGGGCACCTCCAGGCCCCAGCTCCAGACCCTTCACCTACAGAGCACCCCATTCTGCCTGAACTTGGGGAGGCGTCCGACCTGACAGTCTGTCCCCCTAACCCTGCTGCAAACTACAGCTGGACATCTCCAGCAGGATATGTAGCCAAAGAGGTCCCCAGAAGGCGAGACCCGGTCAAATGAGCAGTGGCTTCTCGTCCTACCAACCGTGTGACCTTGGGCATGTCCCAGCCTTGAGCCTCAACTTCCTAAGGGCAGGGTACACCCACACGCCCGTACATTCAAATACTACATACAGGGCACAATTGTAGCAGCTGAGGACAGCACCCTGCCAACATTTACAGCCTGCGGGAGGACACGGATGATAAATTAGCCAAACAGAATACACAGTGATTTCAGGGAGTGATGGACACCAAGAACATAATACAGGGGGAAATGACAGAGAGCAGCTGGCAGGGGCAAGAAGGGGCTGGAGTGGGGGAAGAGGGACAATGTTAGCATGGGAAATCAGAGCAGGCCTCCTGGAGGAGGTGGCCTCTGAATAGATCAAAAGGAGGGGAGGGAATGATCCACACAGATCCACATGGATAATTGGGGAAAGAACTCTCAAGGTAGGAGGAATGGTTGATGCAAAGGCCCTGAGGTGGGACCAAACCTGATGTATTCTAGAAATAGGGAGCAGGCCATGGGGCTGAAAACTAGTAAGTGGGAGAAGTACAGAAAGAAATGGTATTGCAGAGGCTGGCTCAGGCCAGATCCGGCAGAGTGCTGAGACCATCATCATAGCTTCACTGTATGTGCATGGGGTTGCACCGAGCAGAGAGCCTGTTCCCAGTGAAGCAAAGACCCTTCTACCCCAATGAAGATGCTGTCCTTCTGTGCAGGCCATCCCGTTCAGAAGTCTCTGGGCCCACGCGATGCTGATCATCAGAAATGGGGCCAGTGTGACTAAGGCGCTGCCTTTTAACTGGATGACATTCAAACCAATTCAAATACGCCAATGAGGGGCGCCTGGGTGGCTCAGTGGGTTAAGCCTCTGCCTTCAGCTCAGGTCATGATCCCAGGGTCCTGGGATCGAGCCCCACATTGCACATCTGCTCAGCAGGGAGCCTGCTTCCCTCTCTCTCTCTGCCTGCCTCTCTGCCTACTTGTGATCTCTCTCTCTCTGTCAAATAAATAAATAATCTTTTTTAAAAATTAAAAATTACAAAAATAAATAAATAAATAAAATAGGGAACAGGGGCACCTGGGTGGCTCAATGGGTTAAAGCCTCTGCCTTTGGCTCAGGTCATGATCCCAGGGACCTGGGATCAAGTCTCGCATCGGGTTCCCTGTTCAGTGGAAAGCCTGCCTCTCCCTCTCCCACTCCCCCTGCTTGTGTTCCCTCTCTTGCTGTGTCTCTCTCTGTCAAATACATAAATAAAAATCTTTAGCAATAAAAGAAAATTAAATAATAAAACAGGGAGCATGGCCTGGATTATCCTGGCATGGGGACGTGGTGGGGGGTGCGGGATGGGGGTAGTCTCCGGGGTCTTTAAACTAGAAGAGGGAACAGGAGAGATGAGGCCAGAAGGTGGGATTGGAGAGATGGGGATGCTGATCAGAGAGATGCTGATGGTGGGGACAGGAGCCTCGGCATTCTGGAGGCCTCCGAAGGGCAAACACAAGGATCGCCCCTCCAGCCTCCAGAGAGGAGCACAGCCCGCTGACACCAGGCCGGAGGACTGCGTGGGACTTCGGAACTGTTTAAGAGGATGCATTGACATCGCTAAGCCACTGAGGTGGTGGGAATTCCTGACGACCGCAACTGACCTACACGGCATTATTTTTTTCTTTTCAGATTCTCTCTGCTGCCTCCTCTCCGGCCTAATGGGATTAGGAAGAGTAAAGAGGCCAGAGATCCTGCAGACCAGGCAGGGACAGATCTCAACGCGCCCACCCGTCCCCCTCCCACCGGAGACGGCACCTACTAAATCTGCAGGTGCTGATGTTCTGAATTCCGGACTCCAGGCACGGGCAGAAGCCCTCGTTGGGCGCGTAGACAGAGCCGTTGGCAAACAGGGTGCTGGGGGCCATGAAGCGATAGGTGGGGATGCCTTCAAACATCCCCGACTCCTTGTAGACCAGGTTCATGGACCTGCGGGAGACAGACGGGGGAGGGGAGCATGACACCCGGAACGTGGTGGCTGGACCAGTCCTGCCGAACATGACCCCAGCTGAGCCGCTTCTCCCCACAGGCACCGCCGCCCCCCACGGCCCCCCGGGAGAGCTGCAGCCACCATCTCTCTCCCTGGGAACTGCAACAGCCTCCTCATGGCTCTTCCTGCCTCCCGGCCCACGCCCATCTGTTCACCCCAAGCAGACCATGCTTCCAAACGAGAACAGAGTATGTCACTTAAAACTGCAATTGCCCTGGGACAAGACCCGTCATCTCTCCACGGCGCCACAGCTTCCGTGAGGTCCAGCCCCTGCTTGCCCTTTGTTGCACCCTATGAGCATCCTGGCGACTGCTCAGGCGCACCCCCGCCTGCCCCTGGGCCTTTGTATGTGCTACGCCCTCCACATTCACACATCAGACTGCCGTTCTCACGATGACGGGTGACTCCACGGTCACTTCTCCTGAGGCTGTGGTGACACGCTCCCCCACCCAATTCACCCAGCTGTATTTCTCAAAGGTACATGGAAACTTGGACTTGGACTCTGGATTACAACGGTGCCGCCCTCCCCACCCCCCACCACTGTCACACAGGGCTCCAGAGCCCTTGGAAGGTGGCGTTGTGGGTGGGACGCGCTGTCAGCGCAGAATAAATTCCAGATTTCTACACTGGATAGGAAAAAAAAATGTGAAACTTCTCTGTAACACAGGACACTGTTTACACACTGAAACGGTAACATTTTGGATACAGTGGGTCAGGTAAAACCTGTCATTAAAGTTAATGTCACCTACTTCTCGTTCCTTTTTTTTTTAACACAGCCACTCAAAAATTTAAGATTGCAGACGGGGACGGGCACCACGTTGGGAGTGGACAGCACCGGCCCAGACAATAGCCTTATGCAGCCGGAGAGGGTAACGTGATTGCGCAAGAGAATGTCCTTGTTTCCAGAAAACGTCTGCTTAAGTATGGAGACCGCCAGCTATCATCAGGCAGTCTGGGGACAGGGCACCTGGGGCCAAAAAGGAAACAACTCCCAAAACCAAGGGGAATGGCACACTCTCGCTACTCTTCTCTGGGTCGAAATGTCTAATTCTAAAAAGTGAACACACGCGCCCTGCACGGGCACTTCAGGTTTCCTGACGCTGGCCTGCACGTGTGTCTGTGTGAGTCTCCCCCTGCCCCAGTCAGGGTCAGGACGGAACAGGAGGGGGCCCATCCCCTCTCCACCCTGTCCGCAGCACCTGACCCAGCCAGCCGCCACAGAGGTCTGCCAGGAAGGCGGAGGAGTCAGAGTTCACATCCGTGAATCCCCAAGTAAAAGATTTTTCCAGAGTGGCCCTAATGGAGCTGAGGGCCGGGCAATACCTAGAGATGGGCTCTAGGGTCCACGGTCTAGTCTCCCCTGCCCTGGGGCCCCTGGAATCCGTCAGCCCCAAGCAAGCTTCTGAGGCCACACTCTGGTCCTGCAAGTGTCGCAGGAGAGACATCAAGAGCTCTCAGCATCTGGGCGGGCATGAGGGCAGCTGGACAGATGCCCCAGAGGGCCCAGGCTTGCCTGATCCCCAGCAATCCCCGCGACCCAATGGTTTCTTGCCGCCCCCACCACCACACCATGCCAAGCCCCACGCTGCTAGGGGCCTCTCTGGGTCTTGCCAAAGCAGCACGAGCGGTTTGGCTCTTTGTGGCGCAACTGAGGACAGTTCAGGACAGCGCCGAGGGCCAACAAATACACAAAGAGCCAAACCGCTTCCCAAGGGCACGCCAAAAGCCACTCGATCAGGCTCTGAGCGTCCACAGAGGTGATTTCCGCTGCCGGGAGGCCCCAGAAGGCCTCGGAACGTCCCAGCCATTACCGGCAAGCCTCGGGGCTGTAGAATTGCAGAGAGGTTTCCGGAGTCATGAACGGCGCCCACATCTGTCCCGAGGTCCCGTTGATCATGTTGCACTGATCAGAATGCCAGAAGCTGACCTGCGGGGAAGCGATGAGACCCAGCCCTTTAGTTCAGCCACGGCTCCCAGAAACGCGCTCTCGGGCACTACACGCCCGACCCGGGGCACAGGTGAACAGCAAGCCAGGATGTCGCAGGGTCTCCCCTGGGAATGGTTACTGCGGCTGCAAACGGGGACCTGGTCACTCTGAGCACGGATGGGGGTGTCCCTGGACCCCAGAGCCCAGGTCTTGGCAGCGGTCACCGTGGTGAGCGCCGGGGACGTGCGAGCGGCCCCGCGCACCTGCTCGCTCATGGGCACGCGTAACGAGAAAAAACAACAAAGGTGTAAAACGCAGGTGCAGAACAATGTATGTAATATGATTTCATCGTGGGGCGCCTGGGTGGCTCAGTGGGTTAAGCCGCTGCCTTCGGCTCAGGTCGTGATCTCGGGGTCCTGGGATCGAGTCCCGCATCGGGCTCTCTGCTCAGCGGGGAACCTGCTTCCCCCGCCCATCTCTCTGCCTGCCTGCCTCTCTGTCTACTTGTGATCTCCCTCTGTCAAATACATAAAATCTTTAAAAAATATATATATGATTTCATCATGTTCAAAGAAGCAGCAAACCCACCACGTTTCTCTGCACACACACGGGCGTGGAATGGGCCGAAGTGGACAGGAAGGTCATGCCCGATATCGTGCACTGTTGGGTGCCTCTGTGCTCCAGGGAGCAGCAGGGTTGGGCTGGGAGGAGGTGCAAAGGGCACTTGAGATGTGTCCCTATTGTTTTTTTATGTGAATGTCTTCCTGTGATTCTCGGGTGTTTTGTTTTTGTTTTTACTCGGTAGTATCTTTCAACACAGTGGGTGGTTATATCATCAGTGTCGTATTTTTGAAGTGTTTTCGTAAATTAAGAACAAAAGGAAAGAAATAACTCACTTCCTGGTATACACTAGGCGCCAAATAAGTAGAGTTTCCATTCCCCACCCATCCATCGGGAACCAAGAGCTAGTTGAGCCCTAAGCACAGGCAGAACCCCCGACTCCGAGGGCTTCTCCATCACAGATGTGACCACCTTCCCGAGTTGCAATAGGGACAAGGGGCACAGTGCAGGTGACCAGCCGGGTGACCCCGCCCCCGCTGTCCCGCCCAGCCCCAGAGAGGAGGGCCATCGCCCTCGCCCTCACCTTGCTGAGTCCGTTCCACTTGTCCACAAGGTGGATCCTGCTGAAGTCTTTGACCCCCGTGAACACGGTGAAGAGCCCTGAATCGGAGTTGTTGAGCTGTGAACGGCAACAGAGACCAGCATGTTTAAGACTCAGGACAGGGGCAAAGGCCCTGGGGCCTGGCCCTCAAGCCCACCCATTTCGAGGCCATTTTCCGTTTCACCCAGAGCACAGGGGCCTTGATAACATGTTCACTGCTGAATCCCCAGCGCCTGGGGACCAAGAGGAGGAGGGCTTTCTAGAAGGGGGACTCCCTGGGTGGCAGTGTCCCTCCTAGGAAGCATCCCACCTTCCCTTCCTGACTCAAGGAGAGTCGGCTTCTCCTCCCAGATGATAGCAGAATGACCCCCCCACCCCGCAACTAAAAATGAAGTATGGCATGTGATCTCTCCAATCAAGGAAAAAGAAGCAGATGGGGGCATGCCACTTCCGGGTGGAAAGTTTAGGACTAGCGCATGCACAGGTCACCGTTCTTTCTGCCACTGCGTAGGGGTCGTGGAAGCATGTACCAAGCTGCTGCCTCCCTCAGCCTGGGTCCCTGAGTGACCAAAAAGAGCAGAGGGCCCCCTGGTCACCCACACGGACGTGGCATACAAACAAGGAATCATCTCGCTGGTTCAAGCTGCTGACATTCTGGGGCTGCTTGTTACACAGCACGACCTGGTCTATCCTAACCGATACCGGACCCAAGGCTTACTGAGCGTTTTCTGGATCGGAAGCCCCAGGCTTCGGCACCTTGAGGCTCTTTCCTAGAGACGGATGCCTAATTCACAGCAAAGACACGCAAAGCATACAAACCACAGGGCAAAACCTAGAAGCACCGTGTTTCCCCTGAGGAGGCCAAGGAACGGAAAACATGTTAAGAACTCAGTAGGGTTGTTTACCAGCCAAATGGTGAAACAGATTACCGACTAGTTGGGCAAACAGGCTCCAGGGCAGGGACCAGTTCGAAGCCCTGCTCTGGCCTCCTAATGTCTGTGTCATGTCACCTGCCTATTCTGAGCTCCATGAGGACACGAACAGGAGCCTGGAGACAATGGGAGTGCAAAAGTGAGTGTGTCAACACTGTTAAGCGGTGCCTGAAAAACAGTAGGAACTCCAAATGCTACTCTTTATTAATACTATTATTAATAATAATAACAAAGGCTCCCCCAGAAGGACACTAGAATAATAATCAGTAGAGTCAAAGTATATCAGAGACTGCCAGTTAGTATCCAAAATATCCTCCCCTCGCTCCTTCGTAACAAAACCCAAACCTTAGGGCATCAGCACAGCAGCTAAAAGGCTACATTTCTAAGGTGTGGCCACATGACTAAGTTTTGGCCAAAGGAAAGTAGAAGTTGGTTTTTTCCCTCCCAAGGAGGGAGACAGCTGGGACATGCGGTTTTGTCCTCAACTCCCTTGCCTGCCTCTCCATCCCCAACCATCCCCATCTTCCTTCCTCTTGTGCATCCTGGAATGTGGGTGTGGTAGCTGGTGCGTTAGCAGCCATACTGGGCTATGTGGTAACCTGGAGCACGAAAACCACACTGTAAGGATGGCAGAGCAGGGTAGAATTTTAGATCCCCGAAGGATATAAAGACACCATGTCAACACTGGACAGTCACTGTTGGAATGTTATTTCAGGGTTTCCATTATACCCAAACATATATTATAAGCACGCTACTCACTTTGTAATAACTTTAACGTGTTTACAAGTTTACAAGATGTGTTCAAAGGAATCCTGTCGCTCCAAACTTGCCAACTTATCCACAAACTCAGAACCTGTCATCCTGGTTAAATATGTACTATCTATCATGTGTCAAGTACAGAAACATAATTTCTCCTTCCGCTTCCCCCAAGACGGGTCACCAGAGCCCAAAGGGGAGGCTGATTCTGGAGTAACCCAGAGGGCTCACCCAAACCTTTGGTGGAGGGAGCCACGGTCAGGGGTCAGACTCTGCATTAGATCACGGCTCAGGAGCCCAACTACTACCGGGTGACCAGGGGTCAAGGGTCAGACTCTGCATCAGATCACGGCTCAGGAGCCCAGCTACTACCAGGTGACCAGGGATCAAGATCAAGAAAAAAGCAGGCAGGGGCACCTGGGGGGCTAAGTCGGTTAAGTGTCTGCCTTCAACTCAGGTCATGATCCCAGTGTCTGATGCTCAAGCCCCCGCATCAGGCTCACTGCACAGCGGGGAGTCTGCCTCTCCTTCACCCTCTGCCCCTCCCCTTGCTCATGCACTCTCTCTCTCTCTCTCTCTCACTCTTTCAAATAAATAAATAAATAAAATCTTAAAGAAAGGAAGGAAGGAAGGAGGAAACAAGGCAGCTCAGAGCAAGGTCGTAGTTAACATCCTTGACTCCCCTCCCCAGCAGCCTCTCCCCCTTCCCCCAGCAGCAGCCCCCAGCAGTCCACACTCAGCCCAATCGCATCTTCTGAGCCTGGGTCAGGCTGCATCTCCATCTCTACCTCGAGTTTTCAGACGTATGAGCCAATACATTCTCTATTTCTCTTAAGCCGGTGTGAGTTGGGTTTTCTGCCATTTATAACCCATCACCCCCACCCCCCGATCCTAGCCCCCATTTCCAGGCCCTGGACGTGTTGCTGAGCCACGCTTACCTCTGCAAATAGCCCAAACTTGCCCTTGAAGGGAAACACATTTGGGAGGTACTTGTTGATGAGGTGTATGAGGGGGTCGTCATAACCCCACATGATCTCGCTTACAGTGCGGTTCATGAAGGCGCGCTCCCCCAGCGTGCTGAACGCCAAGGTCATGATCAGCTTCATGCTCATGGGTTTATTCTCCATCATCATCGCCGCGGCCTGCAGAGCGAGGGGACAGCACACGTTACAGGCTGAACACCACGGGTCCATGCATCCTGGACTTTAAGCCAGGCCTGAGGCAGAGTTCATCAGGGGATATGAACGTCAGGCCTAGGAAGGTCCCCAGAAGATTCCCTAATCCTTCAGTAACCTGTGTTAGTGGATTCAGGTGACGTTAACTCCATCCCCAGTCGCAGAGGCGAGCACATGGCAGGCGTCTGGCCAATCAGAAATGTTCTTCCCTCCAGCTACAGTGACTATCTTGAGAATGTGTAATGTGGCCCAGTCAGAGCCATAAGACATGGGAAACTTTCCCCTGGGGCTGTCAGGTTGCGCGGAGAGCTTCCTGCTGCCCTCCCTGAAGGCTGTATCCACCCTGAGGTCCACCAGAGCAGGGCACAGATCTGTGCAACTCGATTTGCACCCTAGATCAAGCCATACCTGAAACCTCACCCTTTCAGTAACATGAGCCCGTAAGTTCCCTTTTTGCTTAGGCCAGTTTGGAGCACCTTTCATTGTGCTCCACCTGGCATTTTGGTACGTGCCAGGCGGAAGGTGCCTCCGTGACCACCCCCAATAAAAACCCTGGGCACGGAGTCTCAAGTGCCTTTGTCACCTTGCAACCAAAACAATCTTAATGAAGACTCAACTCCACTTCCTGATATCTCCCTCCCAAATACCAAGTGTCCCAAAGACCTGTTCTCCCCAATATCTGGGTGCTGAGGATGCAGGTGAATTTATTTTCTAATTCCTCTTTCCTCTGGAGACACCATCTTGGCACTTGGTTTATTTTTTTGAAGGCACCTCATCCAAAAGCAGGAAAGTGAACACAGCCAGCATTTCCTAAAACCTGGGCCAACGAGGTCTGGTTCCTTGGGAACTCACCAGGGGATCTCCTTACCATTATAATCATTTTTGAAAAGGGAATAAACACACGATTTTTTTTTTTTAATCACAAAAGGCTATAGAATAAATGTCCCTCTCCAACCCCTGACCCTCCCATTTGCATTCTTCTCCCTCAAGGCTACCCACTGCTATGGGCTCTTGGGTGTTCCTCCAGGGACACCCACACCAGAGACCAGCCAACTACGGTGCGTGGGCCAACGCCAGCTCATTTTTATACAGTCTGAGACCTAAGAATTTTTTTTAATATATTTTTAAATAGGGGCACCTGGGGGGCTCAGTGGATTAAAGCCTCTGCCTTCAGCTCAGGTCATGATCGCAGGGTCCTGGAATTGAGCCCCGCATCGGGCTCTCTGCTCAGCAGGGAGCCTGCTTCCTCCTCTCTCTCTCTCTCTCTGCCTGCCTCTCTGCCTACTTGTGATCTCTGTCAAGCAAATAAATAAAATCTTAAAATATATATATATTTTTTAAAAAAAATATATACATATATATATATATTTTTTTTTTTTTTCCCAAATAGTTGGGGAAGTGAAAAAGACTGTTGGAAAAAACAGGAAAATTATATGAAATAAAGTTTTACTGGAACATCGCCACACATTTTCCTTTGGGTTTGCATCAGCAGTTCCAACAGAGATCAGGTGGTCCTCAAAGCCGAACTCATTTACTATCTGGCCCTTGACGGAAGTTTGCCGGCTCTGCTCGAAACATTAAAAAATAAGTAAATAAATAAATAAATAAATAATACGCTCTAGCGCCGTGCGTACATTCTGCACCTTGCCGTCCCTCACTTAGACCTCGCGGCCCCCTCCGGGCCACCCTGTAATAAATCACCACAATGAAAGACGACGGAGCAACCTCCAGGTTGTTTCTAGAAGCTTGCTCTGACAGGGTTGTGGCACTGAATATCCTTGAGTGCAAACATCTTTTATCTGTGCGGTTCTACCAAGAGGACACATTCCTACAGACGAAGTTTCTGAGGTCAAAGGCGTGTGCAATTTCTATTCAACGTCACCCCCTTCCCGCTGCCCACACCCGTTCCGTGCGTCCCGAGAGCACGCGAGAGCGTCTGTTTCCACGAATGCTCGTGCTACCTGGGGCACGATCACGTAGTCTTTGCCAGCCTCGTCGGTGGCGGCAGGTGACTGCACGGGCAACACTCACGCATGGGGCTGGGGGGAAGGGTGCAGCTGTAAGGCTGCGAGGTGTGTTTATTCTTTGTTCTGTCCGTCCAGTGGACTCGGCAGGTGAGCTCGCCTCGGATCCAGAGCGCAGCCCAGCGCCAGCCCCAGGGTCACCGACGAGTAAACAGGTAATACGTGTAAGGGCCCCAAGCCCTAAGTGCTAACACAGTGTTAGCAAGAAATTAACCCAACAGGCCTGAGGCCACTCTTTCTAGAAAGGCCTGCCGGCAAGGCTGGCCCTCAACCAGCGTCCAGGCCCTGGGATTTCGAGGGAGCTCCCACCACTCTCTGACTGGGGGCGGGGGTGGCTCACGGGGTCTGCACCGTGTGTACAGACAGCACACTTTACGCTGACCACCTGCCTCCCTTCTGGGGGATCTGGACTTTGGTACGTGCCAGATGGAAGGTGCCTCCGTGACCCCCCCCCAATAAAAACCCTGGGCACGGAGTCTCTCGGGGTTTCCGTGGTGACAACCCTTCCCGGGCGCCATTATGACTTGTTGCTGGGGGAATTAAGGGTGTCCTGTGTGGCTCCCCTGGGAGAAGACACTGGAGGCGGGAACCTGGCCTCCACCCCATGCGCTTTCTCCCTCTGCTGTTTTTGGTTCTGCGCCCTTCTGCTGTAATAAATCAGAGCCACGGGCGGGACTGTCCGCTGTCCCTGAGCCCTCCCAGTGAGTCAGCAAGCCCCCAGGTGGGCTCGGGGATCCCGGCGCACAGCGCCAAAGGTCGGTAAATCCAGCTACAACTATAACTCTTACCCACGGAGCACGGAGGCCCTGCCTGCGAAGAGGCCAGATGAGGACTCGGCCTGGGGGAGCCCTGTGTAGTCCCCCACTAGTACCTCTAGAGTCTAGATTTGTAGAGTCAGATGGGAAAGACAAGGACTTTGGCCGGTACCCCCAAACCAGAGACAGGAGGATTTGCATGGGTTTAGGGTCCCGTAAACCGCAGGCTGCCCCCCGTGCCCCTCCCTGTGGCCCGTGCAAGGGGGACGGGCAGGATGAGAAATGGAAACCCCAGGCACAAGGATGAGGGCTGGGATAAGGGACACAGCCAAGGGGCAAACTTACCAAGACCAGGATGTTAGGCATGACAATATAGTCGCTCTCCAGGCCATGGGACTTGTCGGGCTGGAACTGGAAGCTGCGATACTCGAGGAATGACACCGTGTCATTGCCATTGAAGGTGATGTTGCTCTTGTGCCTGAACTCCCTGCAGGCGGTGAAGCCGGTGATCAGCAGATCCCCAGTCGCACGGGGATGGGGCGCCCGCCGGGAGCCCTGGGGCCCTCAGCTGCCTGCCCTCAGCCTACTGCGGGCTTCTGTGAGGTTCATCAGAGCTACCCCACAGAGCACCCAAATCCCGACACACCCCTCCCCCTGGCCAGGGGCCACCGTCCCTCACAGCAGCCTCCCCCATGCATGCGCCTGCTTCTCTGAGGGAGACAGCACAACACAGTGGCTCGGAACGTGCACTCGGGAGACAGAGGGCCCAGGCTCCCAACCTGTCTCCATCACTTACTACCAGGGCCTCCATTTTCCCATCTATAAAATGGGGGTGGGGGTGATAACAAGCCCCATTCTGTAGGGCTGTGGTGAGCCCTGAGTGGGTCAGCCCATGTCAAGCCACCAAGCAGCAGCCCGCGGCACAGAAGGCACCGCGCAAGCCTCAGCCGCTTTACGCCACTGCCGTCGTTATTCCTTCTTGTCTGCTATCCGTTCTCCACAAAGTAGCCAGAGAATCTTCAAAAAGGAGAAATCAGATCATGTCCTTCTCTCCCCGATAGCCCTCCTCTGCATACAGGATCAAATCAAGCTCCTAAATGTGGCCTCCAAGATCCTCACCACCGACCCGTCCAACGCTCAGGCCTCCTCTCGGCCACCTTCCCCCTCACTCATACCACGCCAGCCACTCAGGGCTCCTCCTTCCCAGACTACCAGACTCTGCCTGCCTCAGGGCCTTTGCACCAGCTGCCAGCTCTACCTGGGGGGCCCCCTATATCTTTACACAGTGGCACCTCCCTCTCACCACCCACGTTTAGGGGAGTGTCCCGTTGGCAGAGGTCCTCCATGACCCTCCAGTTAGACCAACCCTGCCCACGCCCCTCCCTCTGGCACCCTCCATGCTTCCCCCTCCTCGCTCTCACCACACTTATGGCCACCTGATATGTCCATGAGTTTACTGTCTCCCATCGATGTCAGCTCTCTGGGGCGGGGGCTTGGGTCTGCCTTTAATAGGGACTGGCACAGTGCCTAGTCCACAGGAGGTGCCCAGTAAATACTTCCAGAATGAAGAAATGAACATGAACTTTGGCAAGCCAGGGCCAGCTCTGACACAGATGCCTTCCACAGACGAGCCTGGCAGGGACGGGAGTTCTGTGACGGGGTCATCCCCGAGGGCAAAATGGGCAGGAGCCGGGAATCAGGCCTTATCCCGGAACAGTCCTCCCTCATCTCTCGGAAACCTGCTCCGCTCTCCCAAAGACCGCGATCCAGAGAAGGGGCCGTGGCAGGTGTGGTAAGAACACGCCAGCAACAAATGTTTACAGGGCGCTCACTGCATGCCAGGCTCTGTACTCGGGGCTTCCCACTAGCTCATCCAGTCTTCACAACCACCCCATGGTGGAACCTGTCATCCCCAGTTTACAGATGGGGAAACTGAGGCCCAGGGAAGGAACGCCCCTTGCCTGCAACCACAAAGCCACAGTGTTCTGTTTTGTTTTTTAAGATTTTATTTATTTATTTGACAGAGAGAGTCACAGCGAGAGAAGGAACATGAGCAGGGGGAGTGGGAGAGGGAGAAGCAGGCTTCCCACTGAGCAGGAAGCCCGACGCAGGGCTCGATCCCAGAACCCTGGGATCACGACCAGACCCGAAGGCAGATGCTTAATGGCAGCCACCCGGGTGCCCCCAGAAAGCCACGGTTTAAACCTAAGAGATCGCTTTGCACAGTGCACGGTCTCAACCATGAGAACATGGGACTGACCCTAAGCAGACTGACCCTAAGCAAACCCCCCACTCCTGGGGGCCTCAGTTTCCTCACCTGTAAAATGGGGTCCAAACCCACTAAGACGGCCCACCTGGGAGGCCCAGTCCAGCCCCCTCCATCCTCACCTGTACACGTAGGGCCCGCGCTCCCGCACCTGCGGCTTCTCCCCCAGGAGGATGGCGTCGGGGTTGACGATGTCGAAGAAGTAGACGGACAGGTAGAAGGGGATGGGGATCTCCTTCCACATGTTGAAGGACAGACTACTGGGGTCGATGCGCACATTCTGCAGGGGGAAAAACAAAGACGCCTGTGAGGAGGGTGAGCGGGGCCGCCGCCAGGACCCACCCCACCGCGCAGCTAGAATGGCTGCCCAGAGCCGGCCTGCACGGCCCAGTCCCACCGGCACGTCAGGGGATGGTCCCCAGGCAGAGAGAAACTTCTCCACACACGCTGCTCCCCCCGAGGGTCAGTCCACAGGGAACATATCCCTGCTGCTACTTTTGTAAACATGTTCTAGTAATGGTAGCCTGATCAGAGACCAGGAGGTAGCTGGGGCTGGACTCTAGGAATATGGGCTTCATGTGGCCAAATGTATCATTCATTCATTCAACAAATGTTTACTGAGCACCCACCATATACCAGGCAACCTTCCAAGGGCTGGGGATAAAACAGTGAACAAGACAGACCCCGTTTCCCAACTCTGCGGGGTCTCTAATCTAGCAAGGAAAAGGGAGGTATTAAACAGGAAGGTACAATGTGTGCTGTGTGAGAGGCAGGGATGGGGAGGGGGACTTGCAGCTTCAAACAGAGTAGTCACTCTGGGGAAACAAGCAAAGACAGAAGGAACACACACACACACACACACACACACACACAAATAAAAACAAAAGGCAGTGAACGGAACACAAGGATTTGGTGGGGGGGTAATCCCCCATAGAAGCAAGGTCAGTGCAAAGGCCCTGAGGCAGGGTGGTGCTGAGACAGAGCGGAAGAAAACAGGTCTGCAGCCTGTCTATCAGATACACTGGCCTCTCATCCCTGCCTGGCTCTTCAGCTCTGCAAGTCCCTGTGTCACAAGGAGGTCCCCCCAGGACCACCCAATCCTCCCCCCCCCAGCCTGGCCACATCACGGGCACCACAAGGCTCAAAGCCTGGGTGGGGCAGAGTGCCCCAGCCCATCAGATGGACACCCAATACCACAGAGTGAGGTGTATAGGGTAGCTTACATCACCTCCCATGGTCCTTTGAACACGGCCTTCCAGAACAAAGCCAGTCACCTCTACTGTCCCCAAACAGCCAAAACCAAAGGGCAGAGGCTCCGGGGGAAGGCAGAAGATAGAGGAGTCGCCTGGTCCAGCTCGGCCCCATGTCCCCAGCCAGCAGACTCTGGGAAGGAGTGGATCTGGAGGCAGCTAGACCCCAAAGCCACATGGGCAAGACAATCACCTCTTGAATCTCAGTTTCCCCATCTATACAACGGGCGCCAGTAGCCTCAGCCATTCCTCATTTCACCAACATGACATTTAAATGAAGAAAAGCTGAACTCGTTGCCAAGAATAAAAAAACGGAAGATGTCCCATAAAATCCAGATTCCAGGGTATCATAATAATAATTCATTGATCAACACATCTTCCTACCGGCCATGGAAGCCGCACGATCACTCTTACAACCTGAGCCTCTAACACATGCAAATAAAAGCGACTGATAAATGTGATGTGAACAAAGCAGCAAAGAATCTGTGAGATCACGGTATTGTTTCAATAGCAGCCATTCGTTTTTCGAAATCGAGCACACCCCGGAGCCAATCTAAGACACGCCTCGGCTCACCGGCCACACCTTTGCCAGCTGGCACTTCACCCGCCTGATCTCCCGGAGGAAGGTGACCTCCTGTGTCCCTAAGGGGGAAACCGAGGTGCGGCGCGGCTGGGTGGCTTTCCCCCGGCCCCACACAGCAGGTCCAACACCAGGACCCTCCAGGCCCCATGGGCATAGGCTTGATGCGTGGAATTCAACCTCAGGAGAGAGGCTGCTGGGCAGGAGTGTGGTGGACCCAGGACGGAAATCCTCAAATCTTCCAACAGGTGCACGGGGAGGAGCGACAGAGGGAGGTGGTCCCGTCACGCCATCTCCGCCACCCCCGCCCCACTGAAAAGACACACAAAGGGCTAGTAACTAGGGGTCGGCCACCTGTCCTGGCTTCCACTGGCAACTCTGCTAGGAGGAAACGCGACTTCCGTCCCAGTTCCTTCGTGTGTGTGTGTGTGTGTGTGTGTGTGTGTGTGTGTGTGTGTGTGATAAAAACACATAACGTAAGATCTACCCTCTTAGCAAATATTTGAGCCTCGGATGCAGTCTTGTTAAGCGGCGACACTCTGGGGTTCAGTAAATCTCTGGGCTTACTCGTCTTGCGTAACTAAAACATAGCAATCACTCGGAGAGTTTGGGAGGTGATGCGTATCTTCACACGTAGACTGCAGGGACGGTTCCCAGGGTGTCTACTTATCTGCAAACTCATCAAGTTGTATACATTAAATGCGGAGAGACTTTTTTTTTAAAGATTTTATTTTTTTTAAGATTTTATTTATTATTTAATTGACAGACCAAGATCACAAGTTGACAGAGAGGCAGGCAGAGAGAGAGAGGAAGGGAAGCAGGCTCCCCACTGAGCAGAGAGCCTGATGCGGGGCTCGATCCCAGGACCCTGAGATCATGACCTGAGCTGAAGGCAGAGGCTTATTAACCCACTGAGCCACTCAGGCACCCCTGGACAGTTTTTTAAAATGTCAGTCATACCTCAACTAAGTGGTTTTTAAAAAGACAGTTTCTGGGGCGCCCCGGTGGCTCAGTCGGTTGGGCGTCTGCCTTCAGCTCAGATCATGACCCCAGGGTCCTCGGATCGAGTCCCGAATCAGGCTCCCCGCTCAGTGGGGAGCCTGCTTCTCCCTCTGCCTCTGCCTCTCTCTCTGTCTCTCATGAATAAATAAATAAAATCATTTAAAAAAACACACACAAGAGATTCTTTTGAAAACATAGACAAGGGCGCCTGGGTGGCTCAGTGGGTGAAGCCTCTGCCTTCAGTTCAGGTCATGATCTCAGGGTCCTTGGATTGAGCCCCGCATCCGGTTCTCTGCTCAGCAGAGAGCCTGCTTCCCCTTCTCTCTCTGCCTGCCTCTCTGCCTACTTGTGATCTCTCTGTGTGTCAAATAAATAAGTAAAAATCTTTTTAAAAATACACGAATGTTTAAAATAAACAAATAAATAAATATAGATAGATTTTTATTTATTTAACAGAAAGGGAGAGTGGGAGAGGAAGAAGTGGGAGCCCGATGCAGGGCTGGATCCCAGTTCCCTGGGATCACGACCTGAGCTGAAGGCAGACACTGAACGACTGAGCCACCCAGGTGACCCAAGCGTCCAACTCTTGATTTCAGCTCAGTTGTGATCTGAGGGTCCTGAGAAGGGGCCCTGCATCGGGCTCTGTGCTCAGTGGGGAGCGTACTTAGGATTCTCTCTCCCTCTCCCCATCCCATGTGTCCACTCGCTCTCACTCTCTCAACATATAAATAAAATAAAATAAAACAAAACAAAACAGAATAGTTTCCAGTTCCTGCCTCGCTCCCCAGCCGTTTCTCAGCTGGACCCAGAGCCGTCTTCAGAACTCTGGAATCCCTCCTCCCCTCTCCGGCTCACTCTGCTTTGGAGACAAATCACGGCCAGATAAATGTGTCACCAGATAAAGCCATGTGTCCCTCTCTGTCTCCAACAGAAGGGGCTTCCAGGATCTAGGGGGTCCACCCCCTTCACCCGCTCACAGGGAGTAAGCATTCAACGACCCAGCTCTGCCCTCTGGCTGGGTGACCGTGGATAAGTCACCGCTCCTCTGTGAGCCTCAGTCTTCTCATCCACAAAACGAGCACGACGACAGAGCCGGTGTGAGGCTGAAATGAGTTTGTTCCAGTGAAGTGCTTAGAGCAGGGTATGGCAGAGCCCCGGGAGTCTGGACAGTCAGGGAGTCGCCTGGCTGGAAGTGACCAACTTGTCTTCCTCCCCGTCCCTGTCAGTGACCCACCCCCACCCGCAGGTGGGAACAGACTTTGCACGGATTTTGATCTGCGTCTGAGGAGAGGCAACCGGACGGAGCAGCTGATCAGATAGCACTGCCCTCCAGGCTCGTGGCCTTTCACCTGTCGTGGCTGACTTGATCCCTCCTCCCCCAAGGTCAAAGACCACGGCCCGGAACACAAAGACTGGAAGAGACGGCCAACGTGAGCCCTCGCAGGCCGCCACTGCCTCTCCTCCCACCCAACCCTCCGAGCCCGTTCCTGGACAGTCAGTAGGGCTGCCTGGAAGAGGGGATGTGGGAGTCAAGCGCCCAAGAAGGGAGTTGGACTTGGCCAGGGAAAGACGACAGGGAGGGAATTCCTGGCAGGGGCTATAGCCTGTGACCCGGCCAGGAAACTGTGGCTCCCTAAATGCCCATCAATAACAAATATGGTCTCAAAACATTTTTTAAAACAACTCCCGTGTCCCTCGAGAGAGAAATAAACCACCACATAACGAAACAATGGGGGGGCACTGCTCTATCACAAACGGAACCGGCCGCTGGTCAGTCCACCCCCGGCATGAGCCTCCAGGGCACATGCTAAGTAACAAAAGCCCCAAGCAAAGCAAACAGCGACACACTGCCTGAGTCCGGCCACAGGACATCTGGAAAAAGGAAAACCACAGGGACAGAAACCAGATCAGTGGTGGCCACAGGGCTCAGGTGGAGGTAGGCGACCGACTGCAAAATGGCATCAAGAGACTATCTGGGGGGCACCTGCGTGGCCCAGTCGTTAGGCGTCTGCCTTCGGCTCAGGTCACGATCCCAGGGTCCTGGGATCGAGCCCCGCATCGGGCTCCCTGCTCAGCGGGAAGCCTGCTTCTCCCTCTCCCACTCCCCCTGCTTGTGTTCCCTCTCTCGCTGTGTCTCTCTGTCAAATAAATAAATAAAATCTTAAAAAAAAAAAAAAAAAAGAGACACAAAAGGCATCAGGCTGCACACTTAAAAAGGAGGAACGTTCTCGATGAACCGTGAAAACATGATGTTACCATTTCTTGACGGTTTAATGATGTACGATTCACATACCATACAATTCACCCACTTCCTAGGGTCTAATTCAAGGGTGTGGAGGTGCGTGCAGAACTGTGCAAACACCACCACGGTCAAAGCCCAGAACACACTCATCACCCCAAAACCAGACCCTCTGCCCACTAGCAGTCACGTCACTCCCCCAGCCCCTG